AGAGCAGAGAGTCCCTCCGCTGCCAGGAAATGAGTGAAAATATGCTCTCTGCAGGATTACCTCATACTCTCTGAATCTTTGGTTACTGACACTCTGTCCCCTTCCTGGTGTAAATAAAATGAACCCCCTGTTTTCAGAGTTTTTCAGTTATCAAGAAAGCCATTTTTTGTGTCATTTTGTAATAGTTTGTAGTAATTTTCTTGTCATTTGCCCCCCCCTGATCAGAATTGCTCCCAATTCGCCTGTTTTTAAATCTCATTTAAAGACCAACTTGTTCTCCCGTGCTTTTACAGACCACGTATAAGACGTATCAGTCTGTGTTGGGCTTTTCTAAATTGTTGCGTTTTAAAATGTTTTTACATCATGTATGAGAGTTTTTCAGTCTGTGGCTAGTATGGTTTTATTGTCTCGTGCTTTTACATTAGTTTTGTGTAAATGTATTTATCCAGCTTTTTTAAATATGTATTGATGTACAGCACTTTGGACAACTCTGTTGGTTTTAAATGTGCTATATAAATAAAGTGTATTGGATTGGATTTTCTGTTTAATTGGAGGTATTTTGTGTTTCTTGCGTGATATTGGGTCTCTTTATATAGTCATTGTGTCCCTCTTTGGGTCATTTTGTGTCTATTTGTAGTCATGTTCTCATGGTTCTCATGGTCATGTTGTGTCTCTTCCTGATTGTGTCGTGTTTTTATTTTGTCATTTTGTCTCTCTTTTGGTCATTTAATGTTTGTATGCTTGTGTTGTGTCTTTTTATGTTGTGTTGCTTTGGGTCATTCGTTTGTCTCTGTGCTCATTTAGGGCATTCTGTGTATCCTTTTTGTCAGTTTTGTGTCTTAATCTAGTCATTTTGTGTCTTTGTGGAGTGTTTCTGATTCAGAAGATTCAATCAAGTTGAGCAAATGCTTTCAATAATGATGAGTCACTTCTATTTAACAACCTTTGTACTGTCGAATAAGTTGCACAAATCTGAAGGTTTCTTCCAAAACATTCTCTAATTCAAACCATTTCTACATCTCAAAATCAAGGGTTTGGTTGGCGTTTTGTTATTTTCAGAGGTTCATTACATGTTACTTTCTGTATTAGACGCTTTTATCCAAAGCGACTTACATACTCAATACTGTGGACAATTGGGGTGAAGTGTCTTGCCCAGGGACACAACGACATGCTGACTGCAGTGGGGTTTGAACCTGTGCTGCCCTGATCAGAACACCAACTCACTAGCCCACTGCGCCACACGCCTCCCTAGGGTTCATGGTTCACTTTGGTTTGTTTTGTGATATTGTAACTAAAAAGGCTTATCAACATCACTGTTTCCTCTCTGTCTGGTCTTTCCCGGAATGTTTATGTACTGGAGTTATTTTTCTAAAAGGGTGAGTACCAAGGGAACTGAGCCACTTTCCCGCTCTCTATCTTCTCAAACCATCGTGTCCTCACATACTCACATTTGTAGTTCAGAAATGTTTTGTCCAAATTGTTTCTGATGGTCATGTTTTTCTGTCTTATCGGACCATCAGAGTCCCAGGAGGCTGAGTTACCGGCATGACGGATACAGCGTTGCGTGCACAGCTGTAATTATACATGAGTATTTTACTATCTGTGGACAACACCGAGACATGTTGATAATGATGCATTGTGGGAGTTTTTGTTGTTCCCAATGAGGGTCTTGAGGTTGTAGATTTTTAATTAACAGTTGACAGTGTTGGGAAGCCTCTAGAGACACTAATTGCTACATATAATGAACTTGAAGTGAGTGGAGTAAAACAGCAACAAAAGAGACAAGCAACCTTAATGAAGTATGGAAAAACATGGTGATAAAGCCAACATGTAGTGATGTCTGAATGATGGAGGATAGAGAGAATATATACGTGTGATTCAAGTAGAAGAGATGAGATATGACTTTAAAGAAAAGTTATGGTGCAGTAGAAAGACAACATCCCAAACATTTAGAAAGCAGCTTGTGGGAAAACCACTCACTCTGGTTGTTGCACATTCCTCTCCTGACCATTAAACTTTGACATTATGTTATGATTGCTTTGGCTCAGTTTCAGTGTTTGAAACTCCTAACGCAGCACAAGTTTCAATGCTTATTTATCATGTATTACTACCACTATTGGATCAACAAAACGCTGCAAAACCAAAACACTGCAGGAAGCTCAAAACAACGGAAACAGGGATGTTAGGGGATTATAAAGTGTGCGTTTTTTCAGCGAATGAGGACTGTAAATATCTGTAAAATATTTGATACATAGCTGTTTTTTTTACTGCATTTTGTCCTGGAAGATTGTTTAAAGATCATGTATTTCAATGGATGTGCTTTACTGCAAACATAATTTAGAAAAGTAATATTTATTAGGGCTGCACGATTTGGGGAAATAATCTAATTGCGATTTTTCTGACAGATATTTCGATTCGATTTGCGATATTTGTTTTTAAGCGACCCAACGGAAGTTTATTGTAAAATGCGGCCATATCTCCGGCTAGGAAGGTTGTATCAACGTGCTCCCGTCTCTAGCACCCCTACAGCCAGAGCTACGAGTGAAAGAACTAAACTTACATGAAACTTCCGTTGGATTGCTTTTAAAGTCAAGCTTCAGTTTAAGACTCACCCTGTAATAGATGTCAAACATGTGATGGAGCATTACTAACCTGACTCAGGTGGTTTGTTTCACCAAACCATCTAGGAAGGCTCCATTGGAAGCCATTTGGAAAAGGGCAGGCACTTTCAAAAATACTTGGCAGGTGATTGGATCAATCTGTCTATCACCTTCTATCATGGGCCACTTCTGATTGGTTAACAATGGCTGGTACATGTGGAGCACAGCACTTCTGATTGGTGTGGATGACTGACACACAAGAACAAATTTTTTTTTTTTTAAATCGCAGGCTTTGCGATTTTTAATTGCATCATCTCAAATCGCGATTTCGATTTAAAATCGATTAATCGTTCAGCCCTAATATTTATGGCAGTTTTTTGAGTTTCATAATATGTAATTGATACAAATCTGTCTGTTATTATAGATTTCAAATCCCAATTATAGTTTAAATAAGAAATTGTTACTGTTGTCGTTCTAATTTGATATCTGCAAAAACAACATATGTGAATTTTGAGTGATAGTATTGAACGTGGAGGGCCAAAGACTTCTAAGATAAAAGTATTCATAAAGAAATGAATGTGTAACAACGTCGTTATACTAAAACCTTGATATTGGGTGAAAGTAGGTAAAGTAGGATTTCATACGCTATAAAAAACAATACTTTTGATGTACTAGAAACTTAGAAACAGCAAACAAAAGAGAAGAAAACAGACATTATTTTGCAGTTAGCTACAAAACCACTTTATTGAAAAAGCAGATTATGTCATCTACAGTTAAATGATACGTCCCGATTTTTAATACATTAAATAGACTTTTTCCATGTTTAGATAAATAGATCTAGTTTCCTTTTTTTTATGAACCATCTAGGTAAAACAAAAAGCAATACAGAAGATGTGACAGATGTGCTTGTTGGAACTACAGCAGGAGAAGAATCTTTTCCAAGTGATATTTGACAGAAAAATAAACAACTAGCCTCTTTATGTACAGGGTGACTAGCTGTGTGCTATACAAAATAAACACAAGTAGTACTTTTAAGAATTAAAGGGTTTACACTCTGATCTTGTTACGTTTTCCTCTGGGTTGATATTGTGCAGAAAAAATGCCTCGTTCTTCAAGTATAGCACACGTTACTTGACCCTTATACAAAGGTTAATAAAAAGGGAATGTCTCACATATGCAGTCATTTTTCTTTCCTGCTTTTACAAATATACAACACTAATCATTATTACATTCGTATGAATCTCACTAGAAAGCACTTCCTGCCTTCAGCCTCTGCTTCAGTCTCTGTTTTTCACACATTCAGTAGTATTTATTCAGACCTGCGTGTACAGTAATAATAATAATAATAATTAAGAGCCAGTGTTTGCATTTGATATCTGGTGATGGTGTGAATCCCAGTCGGTGGCAGTCAGAGGATCATAAACACACCAGCTACTGAGACACAATACGGTGTAAAGTTCAAACAAACACGGAGAATTACACACAAACATCTGGGAGAAGGTCCTGTGTGGGATGCTGCAAACACTGTGAGTGTGTGTGTGTGCAATGGCCTGCCATAACACACACACACACTCACACTCATACAAACACACTCGTACTGTACATGCACACTTAAGACTTTTGCACATATATGAAACAAGCAGGTGGGGTTTATCTGCATAAGACTTGCTCAATTTAAGTGAGAGAAGAATAGTTTTCCTCATGAAAAGACATTCCTAAAATGTCTTGAATCTGACATTAATTGCTTCACTATCCATTCAAGAGGAATTAACCGTTGGAGCCAATTAAAAAAACACATATATATATATATAGAAACTCTCTGATGACAGTTATGAGTAGCGAGGGATGAGACAGTTTTATTCCCAGCACCACCGTAGCTCAGAGTAGGATTGGGCAATATAAAGAAAAATCGATAATATTTTAGACAGAATAATAACAGTTTATATCTTACTATGAACTGTAACATTCATTAATGTTATTAGGCCTGTCTTGTTCTTTTTAAGCTCGTTTTCTTGACTCTATTAAGACTTGCACTTGGTCTTAATGCTTTCTCTAATTATTGCTCAGCACTGTGAATTGCCTTGTTGTTGAAATATGGAAGATACCAAATACTTTGATAACAATATAGCGATACTTTTGTAGAGTTGACTATTAGGGCTTCCAGAACATACATTTATTAAATGATATTTTCGAATATAATCAACAGTAATGTGGACATAATGCCTGAATAATGGAAAAATACAAACCATAGGGAAGCTAGACAAGTCTTAAAATCCAGGAAAAGACGCCTATATCACGATATCCATCCAATCTTTCTATATTGCCCAGTCCTAGCTCAGGGTTTCAAGTGTTTTGTCTCATGAAGACACACACACACACACACACAAAAACACGCAGGTGAACCAGCAGCTCCACGTTTTTTTAAGGGAAGTCCTCTCACAAAGTCAACAGCAGACTGCAGGTGAACCAGAGCGAAACACACACATACACACACACACACACACACGCACACGCACACACACCTGTTCTGTCTTAAGGCATGTGGACAAGTGGAGGTTCCTCGTCTCAGTGTTCATATGACAAAAAAAACAGTGTCTGGAAAAACAAACCAGGAGGCAGTGTCCTGAACACACCTGGAGCAAAAGGGATTTGCAAAAGAATCATTAAAGTATTTGCATTCCTCTTTGAGTACTACATGGACCGCATTATTACCAAAAGAGCTGAATCTTTTGACAGTAGGATTGGAAAATGCTGCATATTCTAAAAGTATAAATAGAGAATATGTAGTATTTCTAAGTTGAGATCTTGGTGCACATACATGTTGCCTATTTGTCTCATAAGTTTTAGTGCTCCGCCACCACAGGCCCTAAATCTCCGCATTTAAAGACCCATTTCTAGCTAAGCTCTCAGATTTTAAGATTAAGCTTAAATCTTAATCTTACAGCTCTGTGTGATATCTTGGCAAAAAAGTGGCCGACCTTGAGAGGAGGTCAGAATGAGCAAATCTGAAAAAAAGTCTAATGATAAGTAAATGTATTTTTCCCTTTTTGTGTGTGAGAATAAGTAAAACAGTTTAATTTGGGTCTGTGTGAAGGAGATGCTAACCAGGTAATCTATGTAGAAAACGTACTGAGTAATGGCATCAATTGTAATACAACATGTACAGATTGATAAACATCTGTCCAGTTAAATAGTCAGAATAATCCGTTTTAATTCACTTTTTAGTATCTGGCACTTAGGATATGCACACATGTCTCAATTGAAGTTTGTTAAAGCGGTTTACAGTCATTAAAGAGAGGGGATATGCAGTCCGAAACAAAATATTTGGTACTCAAAGTGGAATACAAATTATTAAAAAGGCAAATAATTGTTGTGCCACGTCTGCTCCTAAAACCAATGAGTCTGTAAACCCACTGACAGACATGAGGAGGTGTTGTTTCCTGCAGGAGGAATGAAACAAGAGACCCACAAATCCTCAGACTTCTGGATCTGAATCAGCAACAGAAAGAAAGATGAGAATCTACATCTATGGTCTTATGTGGAAAACATCTGCAAAATATATATTCATATATAAAAGACATTCTATGTGCATCTAAAACGTTTCTCTTGCCGTCATAATATAATCATTAATTAAGACACTGCTTGTGAATCTCTCGAGGTCTACGTGGAATGTCAGTCGTTCCTCTGGGGCTACGTCTGGTGTTTCGGGGCGTTCAGACTTTTTCTCGCGGCCCTGTGTCGTGACGCTGCTTTTTGTCCTTTGCATAAACCAGTAGCAGGACTCCATGTCAGTGTTGGGGGGAGAGGGGGGGGGGGACCTGCACTGAAGGCACAGCTATCCCAAACCCACCCTGGGGTCCTTCCTGTCCTCCAGAACGAGAATGTGGCCTCCCGGAATAAAAAACATTGGAAGGGAGAGACACGTTTTGCGTCCAATCCCTTTTGATGAATGTTTCGGGGGGGGGTCACCGGGGGTCTCTGGGTGAGCCGGCGAGTTTTAAGGTTAGGCACCCAAAGGGGAAGGGGAAGGGGGAGGAACATAGAGGGGGGGGAGACCCTTTTTTCCCAGCCCGTCATGTGACAGGAGGACAGAAGCTCAGGCGGACACACTGAGGCGTCCCTGGATCTGCCGTTTCCTGTAGTGTCGGATCACCTGGGAGGCAGAACGGGGTCTCAGTTTGGGATCACCTGGGGTCTCAGTCCTCCTCCTTCCTCCCCCCCTCACAGCTCGGTGACGTGCAGCGGGTAGCTGGGGGGGGGCTGGTGGGCCAGGGGAGGGGCCTGCAGCCGGTGGATGTGGCAGCCGTGGCACAGCAGGTGGGTTTCAAGAGGGTAGCAGCGGTGCCCCTCCTCGTCGTTCAGCTGCAGACCGCAGTCCTGAGAGGAGGGAGGAAGAGAGAAAGACGATCAGTAACCAAACACAGATGAGTGTGGGCTTTGTTAATGCACAAGGGGTACGTTTTATACTTGGGAAGTTTGCTTACAGTCTGTTTCCAGTTTCTGGCGGTGTGTGAAAACAGGTACTTATCATACAAGTGTCATACAATTGTAATGATGTATTGCATTGTGACAGCACAGCCTGGATATACACCAGACTTCCTTTTAAATAACACCTACCTTGAAATCGATAATGGAAGATGTTGGCCTAGCAGCTACTAAGTTGTTTTGCATTACTTGGATATACTAGGCATTGCAATAAGAACAAGCAATATGTTGTTTGTTTTGGTCCACACAATTTTAATCCTCCATTTCCATTTCCACACCAGAGTATAATTGCTAAGTATTCAACTGCTCAAACAAAGTGCACCAGAGTACTATTAAAACACACTAAATGTTTGGTTGTGAAAGCGCCCTTAGAGAGTTCAAATGTCCAGAGGAATTTCTGAGAAAATCGCTGATTAAACACTCCTATTTTTCCTTTTAAATATCTGTATTGAGAAATGCATTTATGAATAAATGCAGTGAACCTGTGGAGGAATTCTGTACAAAATAAATGAGACTGTGAACTGGAGGGTGTCATAAACTGGCCTTCCTCAGACTTGGATAAGCAATGTAAAAATGTGTGTGTGATGAATATGAATTCTTCTGGATGATTCAGCTCTGGACTTTACCCTTCCTCTGTCCATGAGCCCCCCCCCCCCCACCACCCCTTCACATCTCTAAATCATTACCCACTGCTTACATAATGGTCTGATGCATTTCTATGAAGTGAACTGTCAGACATTCAGAGAAAACTGTCTGTCTCCTTCTGATCTTGAGGACAGAAATCTCCCAATTCAGTATTTATGATTCAGAACACAGAAATGCAGAATCACTGAAGTGTGGCGTGAAATGTTGATCTGTCACTCTTGAACTGAGAAGCGTCTGACTGACGGGTGGCGGGGATTTCACAAGTTCAGTCTGAGCAACAAGTCCCCAGCTGGGTTCAGAGCTCAGCGCAGGAATGTGCTTCGTCAATGAGTCACAATGTTGATCTGTAACCTTGGGTTGGTAACTGTGTGTGTGTGTGGTGTGGTGTGTGTGTGTGTTATGTGTGTGTGTGTGTCTCATTCATTCAGAGAGTGTCTGCAGCGGTGATTCATGCACGCTGGAGAAAAACAGTCTGGTCTCGTCCCACGATTAGCAGATTTTACTCAGGTTCATTGAGTCTAATGTGCATGTGGAAGCACGTTTCTGTGTGTGTGTGTGTGTGTGTGTGTGTGTGTGTGTGTGTGTGTGTGTGTGTGTGTGTGGTGTGTGTGTGTGTGTGTGTGTGTGTGTGTGTGTGTGTGTGTGTGTGTGTGTGTGTGTGTGTGTGTGTGTGTGTGTGTGTGTGTGTGTGTGTGTGTGTGTGTGTGTGTGTGTGTGACTCAGTGTGAACTGTGCATGTAAATATTTTCTGTGCTATTCACAACAGCCTGAAATGTTGAATCACACACAGCGATAATGAATTGCCTGTAGTCTGAACTCATTCGTGCTAGACTGCTCTTACTCATACCCCCCTGTGTGTGTGTGTGTGCGCGTGTGTGTGTGTGTGTGGTAGGGAGCATCTCACCTCACAGTGGTAACAATCCACATGGTAGTCCTTGTCCATAGAAACGACTCGAATGGTTTCCTCGGAGCCCTGTTAGCACAAACACACTCAGTCAGGTGTCTCATTATAGTGATTATATTACATTACATTTAGCAGACATTCATAGAGACTTACAGTAAGTTATGGTCCAACAAAAGCAGGTTTACACCAATAAATGCTCTGAATATGCACATGGATTTAAGGTAAACATTAGGGCTGTACCAAATTTAAATCAGATTTGGCTGTTCCTTTAGACACTTCAACTATGTATTTCTGTACATGTTCTCCAACGACTGTGAGCCTGGTAGTTTGCTCAGGGTATCATGGGTCTACATTTCGGTCTGGTCTCCAAACTAAGTCAAACACGCACATAAATGTTATGGGAAAAGACCACCGCTAAACACAAGTTCTTCCCTTAAAAACCATGTCCATAAGAAGCTACCAATCCCAATAAAAAGGAAGAAGGAGAAACTAATAATAAGAAAAGAATGGTTGGGGAGACCCGGGCAGAAATCATTGTTTGTACAGCTTAGAGAGAGTTCAATTCAAAATAAAAATTGCGCTTGTCAAGCTATTTAACCTCCTGGATATCCATCAGCACATCTCATCGATCGCGTTTTTGAAAATACACAAATACTGATGTTGACAAGTTAAATGTCCTCGGATCTGGGGCTTTTGTTGACAATGACCGAAAACTCTCATAAGGTGTCCGTGCTAAATTAAATGATGTTTAGTGTAAACTGTTCCTTACCTGTGCTGGGAGGATGGGCTGGTTGCAGGAGGCACACTTGGGAGCAAATACCCTGTTGTAAAAGAGACAAAAATATATATATCTATATAGTGAAGACACCTTATTTCACACTGAATACCAGGTTAAAAGTAGATTGAGAACCATACATTTTGTGTTAAACTGCTGTCCATATTTTCTTTTTTTGTGCTGAACATATTCTGTGATACAGTAAATATATGTGTATCCTCTTACGTGTGGTAGTCTTTGACACAGTAGATGTTGTTCTCAACGTCCACGGTGAAAGGCACTCCGTCTAAACCCTCTTTACAAACCACACAGCGGAAACAACCCGGATGGTACGACTTTCCCAGCGCCTGCAGGATCTACACACACGATAAGAAAAAACACACACACAAGATAACGGTAAGACATGTGTAACCGGTGTTGATTCGCGGTGTCTGCGTTGTGTTTCGTTGATGGATGAAAACGAGTCAGCATATCGTTGAGGCTATCTCCGTTTATTCGCTGACTGACAACAGATACAACAAATCAGTCGTTATTAAATAGTTTTTTCCCTCACACTGACTCCTCTCACGTGGAGCATTCACAAGAAGGGAAGAGGGAAACAATATGAAGGGGGGAAGTCCCCACAAAAATAATGCATTAACGCACAATGATATGTCATCAGAGAGGTTTCTTAAAGATTCAACTACTGCAGTGAACATGTTTTTAAGCAGGGTGAAATAAGGCTCAATATCAAGAGAACATTTTAAAGTGTATCATAACGAGTTGGGTTTTTTGTCTGCACGATATCCTAGTAACTTTGCTTATCATAAACAAAATAGTGCCTGAAGAAGATGTGTCAAGTAGAAATATTAGACATGCATTCAGTCTCTTCTTTACATTTCCTGTCTGATGAACTCTTACCATCTCCATGATGAGGTGACCGCACACAAAACACTTATCCGCCGTCTGCTGGAAACCAGAGTACTGAAAGAAAAGACACAGGAATTATTATTATTATTATCTTCAGCAGTTAGTGAACTTTTAGGTATATTTCATAGCGTGTACAGTATATGCTGGCAGTTTACCCCCTGATGCACGAGCTTGTTTCAGGACAGGACTGATCTATAGAGGGTGCTGCTGCGCTCTTTACATCAACAGGATTTCTTTCAGGATCTTCTGTCTCTCAGCTGACATGTTCATCAGGCATCTCCGCACAAATGTTTCAAAACCGATTATGATTCCTCCATCATATTCCATATAGACAGGTTGTAGGATACATGTCAGCTAGGGCATGGATACAATTGGACTCGAATTTAGACTTTTCTGTACATTTTTGGATTGATCGTTCAACGTGAAAGCATGCAAGAAAAAACTAGTTATCTCTTAACTCACAACTTCAAGGTAACTCGGGGTGAGCGATGTATATCAATTTCTCTTAAAGGTCCCCTATTATACTGTTTTTCATCAATATATTATAGGTCTCAGATATATACAAAACATGTCTCTGAAGCGTTTGGCTCCAAACACCAAACAGATCATTGCAGCATCCCATAATCCCCTCTGTTTCAGCCCTGTTTCAAAAGTGCTGATTCTCTGTCTGTTACTTTAGATGAAAATAAGGAGCCCCTCCCCACGCCCCTCTGAGAGATATTTGGTTAAAAAGAACACAATGGTGCTCTAGGAGGAGATTCAGGTGATCAGGTGGGGGGTGGGTTACCTTGGTTGCTGATTGGCTAATGGTTACACAAGCCAAAACATCGTTATGACATCATAAAGTGGCCAAAATCTGATCAGCTCATTTTCAGACAGGTTTTTATATAAATGGATCAGGACAAAAAGAGAGAGAATCTTTGTTCCTGAAACTTTCAGAGTCTCTTTACACAGAGGGGACACATGTTGATGTAGAAGAGACATGAAGAAGAGGATTTTGCATAATAGGTGACCTTTAAACCCTGAGTGCAGGAAGTCTTAATGAAGGTGACCATCTGCAGCTCAGAAGCCTTCAGGGTCATGACCTGATGACTCGGGGGCAAGTGGATGAACAAGGCAAGGCAAGGCAAGGCAAGGCAAGGCAAGGCAAGGCAAGGCAAGGCAAGGCAAGGCAAGGCAAGGCAAGGCAAGTTTATTTATATAGCACCTTTCAACACTAGGCAATTCAAAGTGCTTTACATAAAATGGAAGACATTAAGAAAATGGCATTTAAAATCAGTCATTAAAAATAAAAGATAATAAAATAAACATTAAAAGAAAAAAAAAAGAGAAAAAAAAATAAGGCTACCAGGTGGAGGTGGTGATGGGCAAATCTACCATCTGCCACCCCCCCCCAGCCCTAAAGACCCCCCTGGAGGACAGGCCAGACTAGTCGAGTCTTAGCTTCATCGCAGCGGAGGAAGAAGATTAGTCTCATCCCGTCACCTGAGCTCCAGCATCAGATAATCACTGATGATCGCTAAGTGCAAAAACAGGAAGTACTTCCCCAACAGGTTCAAATCTGAGGGGAAGCTGCTGAGAAACAGGAAGTATCGACAACGTGGTGATGTTTTTCGGATGATGAAGCTCGTATTTGTTAAAGGAAGCTTTGTTATGCTACTTCCTCCATGTTTGGACATCAATCGCTGTCACATTATATTCAAATGTCCTGATAACAGCATCACATACAGCTGCAGTAGGCAACATATAATCTAATGATCAATAATAATCAAATAAGTTTCATTTGCATCAGTAATTGAGTTTACTAGTTAAAGTAATAATTAGGGCCTGTCACTGGGAGGTTGTTTAGTCCCAGAAATAGATATCGTTATGGGTTTAAGACACTCTGATGCCACTAATCTATCAATAATATGATAGCATAATAATGCTAGCACACTCTTTTAAAGACACTTTTGCCTTGAATTCCTTAAAATATTGTGATTGGATTATGAAAATATATTTATATATGCTAAGCATAAAAATAACACTTACATCTTTTTTGATAAAACATGAAAAGCCACACAACCAAAATAATAAATAACTTTTTGGAGATGTTATTACAAATGGCCCTTTAATAAATAGAGTTTATTTATTTAAGAGTTATAGAGATTTTCTTTATCAATCAACTCCCAATGCAATGCAAGAGTACTTTTGCTAAATCAAAGTGCAAAATAGCAGCATAATAACTATAACTTAGATATACAGTATTTAACAACACTCTTCTCTCTTATTCAGAAAAAGTTCTTCCCACACCTGAGCTGTGAAAGATCAGTCATTAAAATACGTGAAAATGTTTGAGGTCGTGTCCATACATCGTACGATAATCTTTATTTCCCACAGCTCCTGAAGGCACCATGAGAGCCCTGTAAACAGCAGCAGACGGACCTCCAGCTGTCGTCCTGTAAGAGCCGGGCAGCTTGAGGGGTAATTGAGCTCCTTGGGGACATTTTGGGGAAATTAGTGTGAATTGGAGGGGTGGTGCTAAAGTCCTAATTATAGCTGCCATTATGTCCGTTTCCTCTGGAGGGACGCAGCCTGAAATCCTGATCCTTAAACCCCCTGGCCCCCCCAACACCAACAGCAAATCAATAACCAGGAACACTTACCAGGAAATCTTCCTCACAGTACACCTTCCCGTTGACGTTGTAGAAAGCTTTCCCTCGAAGCCTCCGACCTGAAAGGGAAAGACAAAAACGGTGAAATCTACATATTCAAGAAGAGTTGAGACATACTGTGTTGCAGCAGAAACACTACAGGTTTCATAACACGTAAGAACAGTTACATTTAGGACTTTAAAGTATTTTTTAATGAAACTTTGAAGGGAATTTGTGATGAAATGTAGACGCAGTTTTTCCACTATCAGGAAGTTTGTGACAAAATGTTCCTATCATAAGAAATCTTTATTTTTGTTGGAGTTTAACCCTTCAAAAACTACTTTTCTCAGCGGTCAAGAAGCTCTTCTCCTGCTTGACACACACATAGAGAAGCATGCACCTGTTTTATTGGAACAGATAAGTTATATTCACTAAAGAAGGTTAAGTTAAAAAAAGACTTAATTTAATCCGATTAATCAATTTCTTCGACTGAGGACGTTCTAAAATATGACAAAAACATTCAGAAATCCATTCTTAAATCTCAAAAGAAACTATGAATATACTTTGAATGAAACTCGCATTTTTGAGTGATTTTATTCAGATTTTAATTTTGAAAATTAAAGTTGCCTAGTTGCAAAGCCTAGTTGCTGTGACAAAGCCTAGTTGCTGTGACACCGAACATCGTGCAGATTGATTAAGACTTCCTGAGTGGAGGCTTTGCAGCATATGAAAGGCAAACTCAGAGGGATGAATGTCACACAAAGCACACCGAAAACTCCACTTCTGACTCTCAGTGAAAATACATACTGTATACCTCTCTCTAATCCCCTCTACTTAACCACAGCAGCAGGTCGGTGTGGAGCAGATGGCTTCACTATCCAATGCAACATCCTGTCGTTTAATCACTATCACCATTGATCCCAACAGGAATCCATTCACAACCCATACACAATCAATACAGCAGGCTGCCTTCCAAACCTCCCCCCCCCCCCAAAGTATCTCTCCTCTCCCCTTCCCCACCATTGTGCACAAGCAGAGCAACAATAGCAGGCTGCAGGGAGGATGTCCCTCACTCTGACACACACATTAACACCAGATAGACACCGATAAATCCATTTAAATTTGATCACCATGAAGACACAACACCATGAAGACACAACACCAAACCTTTGCAGCTACTATTGGCGTTTCTCATCGTTCCACATCATGTCAAATAAATGCTTATTTTGGCAACTTCTACTTCACTTTGGTGGTCTGACATGTCATGAAACAATCAGTAGTTGCAGTGCTATTCAGAACTATTATAAGAAAATATAGTAAAATAAAATATGCCAGTATTTACAATGTGATCGAATGGAATAAAATATGTGCAGTAATAACACAGATATTGTGTGAATTGTGTTTTTTTTTTTTATTTAGCCTTTATTTAACCAGATAAAAAACATTGAGATAAAATCTCATTAACTACTATTGGCATTTCTCAACGTTCCACTATAATATTTTTGGCAACTTCTACTTCACTTTGGTGGTCTAAAATGTCATGAAAACAATCAGTAGTTGCAGTGCTACGCCTCACAGCAACACACCACAGCGGGAGTAGCTTCCAGCTCTGAGCATGAGGGCTGAATTCCTCCGGGTGAGCCTTCATTCATCAGAATCCAAGTCTGAATCCAATCTAAAAAGGAAATTCTGCTGCAGCCCCCCTGCCATGCACCCCTCGCAGCTCGCCCATTCAAATTCATTTAGCAGCAGCGGTGTCTCTCTGGCAGCGCGATGACTTCACCGAGCCTGGCAGACCAAGCGCAGGGATCTCATAAATCTGCTGGATTAGTCAGATTTAATTGTCATCCCCAGAAGCCACCATTGATTTTATGGATGTCCCAAAAAGTCATGCCCCCCCCTCCCACACTCCCAACACTGCTGAAATGTATGCAATCGCTGTATTTCACGCACCAACACCGTGTCACAACGCCAATACATTAACACCCACATAAATGGCTGCAGCGGCCGAGGAATGCTGGCACACAATAGGTGAGACTTTTAAGACTTTGAGACTAAGGAGCAATTAGCATTTTGGTAGCGTGGAGCAAAGAGAAAAGCAGGATGCAGCAGGAAGAACTCTTAAGAGAGAGACACTGACTTCAAAACTTTGCAGGGTCCTCCATCAGATTCAGGATACAATTGTTGCAGGATAGGCACGAACAAAAAACAATTGCAGGTGCTGGATCAAAACAAATCTATTAAAAGCTCCGATAGTCATTTTACAATGCAGCTTCAAAATCCAACAGATCCTTCCTAGGCACAGACATGGGAGCTTTTAATACGGCTTGCAGATCTTCTGTCTTATTCCACTTTAAGGTGCCGAGGTAAGGTGACTTCTGTAGAAAAAAAAGACCCTGTGACACATCAGTACTTCACCAACAAAGTGATCAATTACCAACCCCAGTGCAACTTTGAAATCATGAAGAAATCGTTATTTTTATCACACATTGCAAAAAAGAAACTGGGCAAATTCTTGATTAATTGCAGGAAATAGGGACCAGGTTTAACAACAGGAAGGCTTTACCAAAACAGTGCATTCTTTCTAAACCTGACTTGCTTCTGCAAAAACAGTTGCATGCTTTGAAGATTATTCTTTGAGGAGGTTTTGGGAGGTTTTGTGGAGGTTTTGAGAGGTTTTGTGGAGGTTTGGGGAAATTTTGAGGAGGTTTGGTGAGTTTTTGGGAGGTTTTGTGGAGGTTTTGTGAGGTTTTGTGGAGGTTTTGTGAGGTTTTGTGGAGGTTTTGGGAGATTTTGAGGAGGTTTGGTGTGGTTTTGTGGAGGTTTTGGGACGTTTGGGAGATTTTGAGGAGGTTTGGTATGGTTTTGGGAGGGTTTAGTGGAGGTTTTGGAGGTTTGGGAGATTTTGAGAAGGTTTGGTGAGTTTTTGAGGAGGTTTGGTGGAGGTTTTGAGGAGGTTTGGGGAGGTTTTAGGAGGTTTGGGGTGGTTTTGAGGAGGTTTTAGGAGGTTTGTGGAGGTTTGGGGAGGTTTTGTGGAGGTTTGGTGAGTTTTTGAGGAGGTTTTGAGGAGGTTTTAGGAGGTTTGGGGAGGTTTTGTGGAGGTTTTGTGGAGGTTTGGTGGAGGTTTGGTGGAGGTTTTGTGGAGATTTGGTGAGTTTTTGAGGAGGTTTTGAGGAGGTTTTAGGAGGTTTGGGGTGGTTTTGGGAGGTTTTGTGGAGGTTTTGTGGAGGTCTTGGGAGGTTTTGTGGAGGTTTGGTGGAGGTTTTGTGGAGGTTTTGTGAGTTTTTTAGGAGTCTTTGGGAGTTTTTGGGAGGTTTTGTGGAGGTTTGGGAGGTTTTGTGGAGGTCTTGGGAGGTTTGGGAGGTTTGTGGAGGTTTGTGGAGGTTTGGGGAGGTTTGTGGAGGGTTTGTAGAGGTTTTGAGAGGTTTGGGGAGGTTTGGGGAGGTGTTGCTGTGTGCTCGTCTGTGGCCTCTGCTCTGGTTCGGGGTCTGGAAGGTGAACACAAAGGCCTGATGACTGTGTGCAGTGCTGCTAGGGGAGAGACTGAGCAAACGGGGACATTCCTTCTGCCTGAGGTCACTAGCTGGTCCCATTCAACCCCCCACACCTCTCCAACACCCGCTGCCCGCTCCCCTCACCCAGGGGAGGGGGAGGGCTGCCTCTCTCCTCTGGCCCTTTGTCACCAGACAGCGCTGCAGAGAGCCCCCAAAAAACAATACGTTGATGAAATCTCAAGGAAAGACATAAAAATGAAAGTCTGGTTTGCATTCAGCGGTCAGACTATATAACCACCACGGCCCCCTAGTAGACCCCCCCCTCACACACACACACACACACACACACACACACACACACACACACACCACAACACAGACTATAACACCTCTTGTTGTTAAATACCAACTATGTGCAATATATATATATATGCCGTTAAAAACTGTGCAATATACACCTGGCTGCTAAATCCTCAGAACTGTTACAGGATGTGTTTTTTGTAAAATGTGTAACTTTTTCTATTATAATTTATTTTATCTTTAATACTTTTGTATGCATGGTTCTTACTGTAGGTAACATTAAGCTGTCTTTGGCTCTTTTCTGCTGTAACAATGTAAATGTCTAATAAAGGTTTTCTGATTGTGATTCTGATTTTTTACTGCCTTGTCTTTTGCAAATGTAAAAACAAATGTGATAGCAGCAGCAGTCACTAATTTGCAACTAGATTTAAAGCAGCAACTAACACATATTTTAACTTTCTGATTCATTGTTTGGATCTAAACAGAAATGGTGAACAATATCCATCTGGCAAAGTAGAATATTGTGTCTTCATATGGCTTTTTCTTTCAGTTCAAAACCCAAACACATCCAGTTTATAATGAGATAACGTAGAGAAAAGCAGGAAATCTCAATATTTTAAGCCTAAAAACTACTTTTTTTGCCATTTTTGCATAAAATATTACTTCATCGATTTACTTATAAAGTTGCCGAATATTTTTCCTTCGCTCGACATAGACTGACAGGCTGAAGGTTGTAGGGATACGGAGAGTTTTATTTTGTGTGGTGTGTAAAATGTTATAAATGAATAACAATGTTAAAATTACTTGTGTCCTTACAGAGAGTAAAGTTTCCCAAAAATGTGGACATTAAGTGACAGCACGAAGATGAATATTTAAGGTGCCACACTCAAAGGTGCAACAACAATAATCAGATCAGGGTCGGAGAGATGTTAACCAACCGTCTGCACACCGTCTTAAAATAACCTTTAATCCAGTGATCAATCAAGTGTTTATTAACTTTTAATCTAGATTTCCACAGCAGCTCAAAAAACCAGTGACATATATCTGGTCACATTTCATGTAGAAGTATTTGTCAACTTCCTGTCCGTCACAATGACTGTTGGTGCGTTTCCACATGTGATAACTGTTCCTCTTTGTGAAGGAAGTTTCCTGTGTTTGTCATGCAATGGTTTAATTATTTGGCATTAAGTGATTTAGCAGTTTTCTGTAACTAGTTGGACAAACCTACGCTTTAAAATAGAGAGCAATACAGCGGGACAGCCTTGTTTAATCTCTGTAACTGAACA